AGCACGCAACGTGCAAGTTAAGGTTAAAGGCTAAAAGAGGCGATACATAGGCTATTTGATCATCTAACACAGAACCATTAAAAGGGAAATGACAAGAAGGAAAAAAAAGCATTATTCGAGGAGAAGAAGAAGAAGAAGGACTAGAAGACTGTGAGTCTGTGTTAGCCGTGGTGCCTGGTGGATCCAAAGCAACAGCCACTGCAATTTTCTGTGTGTTGGTGCCAACATTCTTGACAAGAACCTGATAAAAATTGCAACTTAATAATCTAGAATCGAAAAAAAAGGGAAATTGAGTTAAAGGGGTTTGAATTACCGGTGAGCCTGAAGTGATGGAGAGGGTTTTGAGAAGAGGGGTGGAGAGGGCAAGCAGGGAAGAGTGGTCGACAGAGAGATTTGTGAGGTCGGAGAATCGGAGAATTCCGACAGGAAAACGGAAGAAGGAGGGAGAAGAATCATGGTGGAAGAGATTGGCGGTTGGAACAGTTGAATTGATGACATGTTTGGTGGAACACAGTATCAGAGGCTTTCTTCTTCTTTCCACCATTTTCAATCAAAAACCTTTACTTCTCATTCCTGTCTTTCTTTCTTCTGCTTCCACCAATTGTTTCATTTCAATGTGAAGTGTTTGCTTTGTGATAATATGTCTCTGTTTCTGCACTCACTGATATTACACTGAATTAATTTTAACAAACATAACTTTGAATTATTGAAGATATCAAACATATCTATTTTCACTTATAAAATTACTACTGAAAAAATATCCGCACATGTGTATCCAGTAAAAGTATTACTAAATTATATAATATTTTTAATTCTTAAAACAAAAAGTATTAATAAAAAGGTAATATAAAAATAAATATTTTTTATAATTTTACTATAGATATTTTTTATTGAATTGCAAGATTGAAAAAGAAATCATGAAGTTATGATTTCGTACGCAATTTAATCCTGTAACTAGATATATTGTGGCCTATAGTTATATCACATTATAAGACTTAAGAACAAATATTGTGTACAAACATAAATAAAATAAAATACATAACAAAATTACAGAAACACTAATTTTGTACACACACAAGGTTTTAGGTTAACAAGCAAAAGTGTTGGGCCCATATGACAGTCCACAAACAACAAATGGTCTGGGTCTGATTAGGCTCAGCCCAATCTTGATAATTTGGGCTTTAGACATTGTATTTATACACTGACAACAAAAAATGAAATTAGGGTTTTGTTCTCCCCGTTGCAGCGTCAGAGAAGGGGAAACATGGTTTCGCTGAAACTGCAGAAGCGGCTTGCAGCCAGCGTGCTCAAGTGCGGAAGAGGAAAGGTGTGGCTTGACCCCAATGAAGTCAACGACATCTCCATGGCCAATTCTCGTAATTATGCTCACCCTTTCTCTTAATCACCATCATATATCTTCGCCTTGTTTATCAGTATTATTGTCTTTATTTATTATTATTTATTTTTCTTATCTAAGCGTTGAAAATGGAGGACTTATTGTTCGATCCGAAGTTTATTGTTGTTTGCAGTATTATATTTCTCGTAATATTAGATTGTATGCATTTTTCTATATGTAATCGCTATTTGAACTGTTCTTAAGTTAAATAGTGCCTACTATCTGCAGTGTGAAAGGGGTTTGGTACGTGTGAGCATTTGCTAAGATTTTTTCAAAATCCTTGAGTTGTTTCATCGTGTAATATGAACACGTATTTTTTACTTAATATGGTAGGTTTCACTTTGCAGGGCAAAACATCAGGAAGTTGGTTAAGGATGGGTTTATCATTAGGAAGCCAACCAAGATTCACTCCCGATCACGTGCTCGTAGGATGAAGGAGGCAAAGAGGAAGGGCCGTCATTCAGGATATGGTAATTATTCCCAGTAACTTGCTTAATGTAAAATAAATTACAAACGAGCAAGAATTAACAGCTACATACAGGAGAATAAGACTAGAAGATAAAATGAATGAACTGATTGTTATTAGTTTATTTTTTCCGAAAGATGATTTTAATTTATGCATTAACTTGGGAAGTACATTTGTTTACAAGGGTTTATTGAAAGATTTATCTATAGAAAACGAAATTTAAGGCTGTTGGACATGTTTATATAGAACGTATGGTTATGGTCTTCTTGTCACTGGTCATCGCCAACTGCCAGGATTTTTCTAAGTAGGTAATTCAGGGGATGACGAATTTGCTTGTTAGTTTGTGAAGGAAGACAGATTCTTATTTTATTCTAATTATTGTTGGGTGGCATAGGAGTTACTCTTTTATCCTCTGGAGAGAGGGGTTGGAAGAGTGTCGGTGGCTTCTTATAATGTTTATGTGAATACTATTAGGTAAGCGTAAGGGTACAAGGGAGGCAAGGCTTCCCACAAAGATACTCTGGATGAGAAGGATGCGTGTGCTCAGACGGTTGCTTCGCAAGTACAGGGAGTCAAAGAAAATTGACAAACACATGTACCATGATATGTACATGAAGGTCAAAGGTAATGTTTTCAAAAACAAGAGGGTTTTGATGGAGAGCATTCACAAGTCTAAGGCTGAGAAGGCCAGAGAGAAGACCTTGTCTGATCAGTTTGAGGCTAAGCGTGCAAAGAACAAGGCTAGCAGGGAACGGAAAATTGCACGGAGGGAGGAGCGCTTAGCCCAAGTGAGTTTCAGTGTCTTGGAATATATGTACTTGTGTTTTTTTTATTAAAATCGGCGATTTGCTGCACCATGAGCGTGTTCACTGAAGTTGGAAATGAAGATTTTGACAAATTTTCATTGTTAAATGTTTAGGGTCCCGTTGATAAGGCATCTACAGCACCCAGTGCCCCAGCACCCCAACCTGCCCAGTGAGTCTTACTGTTTTTGCTTATTATGCTATATATGTAGTTTTTGGTTCTTGATGAACTTTGGCTTACTTGTATATCTTTTATGCAGAGCGCCAAAGAAATCCAAGAAGTGAGTATTTTTGATGAATCTTTGACTGTACCCGAAAATTTTCTCTGCAAAAATAGTTACGAGGAGTATGTTTCTAAACTTTTTTTTGTAAGTTTTGTTTGTACGAGAACATTTTATCTTGTATACTTTAAACTATATGTTGTCAGTTTTTACTGTTTTTCGTATTAAGATTCACTAGTTTTTTGAAGTACTTGTGTTATTCTTCTACTCGCATCATAACTGCTATATTGTGCTTAAAAAAACTTCTAACCACCGAAAAATTAGGATGTGCTTGAATGTTTTAATCAATGAAACTTCAAACCCGTGGTTATAGAGAAATTTTCGATTTTTAAACACCGAACAAGTTTCATTTATTTTATATAAAACTAACTACTGAAATCACAATTATATTTACATACAAGTGTTCTGATTTTTTTTTTGTTAATGTTTATTAACAAACAAGTTTTGCGATGAACTACTACTCCAATTTAAGGTATTACATGTAGTAAAATATGACATAAAAATATATTTTCTTGAAGGACTTGCCTATAGTATGCAATATAAGTTGCCTCGAAAATATAATATAAATTTCTTGGTGATATATCCAAGGTTACAAAATTAGTATGAATATTACAATAGGCAACAGAATAGTCATATAACAAAAAGAAAGAATGAATAAGTATTAAAGAAAGATAAATGAGTAGAATTTTTTTAAGTTAGATATGCTTAGAAACCTCAAATAAGGTTCAAATTCTAAGCTTGAACTTCATGCCTGCAAATAATACAGCACTTGTTACTCACTTTGAAATTATAAATAATAAGTTGATATATACACTTGGAGTATGAATGAATTATAGGCTTTGGACATTATAGTATGTGATTGCTAAGTGTCAATTTTTTCATTTAAAAAATGCTTTTCTATGTAGATTTTAAGTTGTTTTGTAAAGATAATTTCGTAATAATAATAGATTTTATTATAAATGCTTCAAAAGAATAATTCAAAATATGAATACTATATATTATATTTCAAAATTAACTTTGATTCCTTATTTTCAAATCATTCTTTCTTTGAATCGATAACCGTTTAGGAAAACCAAATTGTTAAAGAGTAATAAGTTTTTACTTTTTTAGAAGAACAAATTTTAGAGGATAATTATTTTTTAGAGTTTGAAAAACTTCATACTAAAATTAGTTTTTTAGACAGAATTTTAAGAGGATTGAAAAATTATATAAGAGATTATCTCATACATTTTTTTCCAATTTTATTATTTATGTAAATATTTTTTAAACTAAAATAATTATTTTACTAATTTTATTCTTAAGTGATATTTTTTTAATTAACTAACTTTTATTTAAATTTATTAATTTAATTATTTTTAAACTAAAATAACTATTTATATAAAAATCTAAGAAAATAAATACAAATTATATACAAAAAAATTACAAATTTTATTTATTTATTTTTATAATAATAAAATAATAATTTTATTAGTTTTTATATAAAAAATAACATGTACTGATAAAAGTAATTTAATTGTTTAAAATTAGACAATTTCGAAACTTACTTTATAAAATTAAAATTCAAAATTCTTCATTCTCTTTCCTTTATTAAATTCAAGAATGGAGCTGATATAGCAGCAAAGATTTCTTTAAAATTAAAATTGATTGTCATTATTTTCAATCTCTAATATAAGCTATTTTTTATATCTGAACATTTTTAAAATATTTGAAGTAATAATTTTTTATATTTGAACATATTTAAAATATTGTCCAAACAAAAAAAAACTTAAATATAAATTATAAATGTTACAAAACTAAAGGATTTAAAATAAAATACATTCAAATTTAATATATTTCAAAACTTCAATCCACAAGATTATGCCTTATTTCAAAGCTAAATTCTTGTCATTATATGGTGTTACTAACAAGAAGTGTCACATATCACTATGTACACTCAGATCGGAAAGGTTTTTGAGTTTACTATGACATGACACGAACAAGAAGACATGAAGGATTTAGCCGTAGCACTGTGACTTTATTGTGCCTGTATGAGAAGAAAAAAGTAAATATATACTGACAGACCCCAGCTTTTGATAATTATTTCAACCCTTATAACATATACAAACTTCCATCATTCCATGTCAAATTTGAGCAAAATTTGAGGCCCCTTAACACAGGCAAACGAAAAGGGTTGCAACCAAGCATGCATCAATCCCTGAACTCAATGGAGAATGTTACCTACCTTTATTTGACAGAGAAGTCAGAACCAACTAGTTCTGTATAAGACAAGGGGATCCAAGAGGGAGCTTTCCCTGACGATCTTACCCAAATCACAACCACTAGTTTATGTGAACAAAGAGGAAGGTTTTTTAGAGAGTAAAGCTTCAAGTGAAGAAGGATCAGTCAAGGGGGGACTACAGGTGAAGTTTTGGCAAACAAGAGCTACAACCTTGTTGACGTCATAGTTATTTTTTGCCATGAGAGAGACATTGTTGTTATTTACTTCCCAAAATTCCATCTCTTCTTTGTTACTGGGGTCTATATGAATAACCTGTGATCAACACAAGCACTAATGTTATTGACGACAATCAGAATGAGATGTAAAGATATAAGGAGTAACTGTACTTACTGTTCTGTTGGGGTCATATAATGCATGAGCTGCGGCAAGCATGTTTTCAAATTCTTCAGACGTCCTTCCACCAACCACGACAACTTGTTTCCTAGAAGGTACACGCAACATGTCTGCTGCACAACACATTAGAGGCACTGCCATAGCCATATCTTTCAATCTTTTCTCAAAAACTGCCTGCATTGTCATTTCAAGAGAATTCTGGTCAGTTGCAACTGACCCAGTGATCTAGAAACAGACCTCAAATAATCCCATCCCACCACTGTTAGCACATATATGAGAAGAAGCGATTTTTAGGAGGAAAAGGGCGGAAGGGTGTTACGCACCAATAGATGTTCTGCATTTCGCTTATAATTCTCAGCCTTACTTCCAGAAACCATGGAAGCCAATCTTATAAGGTTTATGGCAGCAACCGAGTTTCCAGATGGTTCTGCCCCATCATGATCTTCCTTCACACGGAGGAGAACTGAAGAATCTTCTCCTGTATTATTGAAATATCCACCTCCAGCCTTATCAAGAAACAAAGCATCCTACAAGCAACAACTATCATTAGCAATTCAATGCCTGGTATACAAGAAATACAATTTCTATGGTGTCCAGACAATCAATATTACCTGGGTTTCCTGCAATTCAATGGCCCATAGAAGCCAGCTAATTCCACCACCAAACTCATACAGATCCAGCAATCCTGAAATCAGAAAAGCATAGTCATCCAAGAAACCAGGAGCTTTAGATGGAGAACGTCTGAAACTATGGTATAGCCTGCGAGTCTCCACATCATAAAGATGCTTCCTAATAAAAAATGCTGCTTTTTCTGCAATTTTCAAGTACTCCTTTGGCTGAAATATACATAAACAAAAGGAGGAGAAAGTTAAAGACAAAAGGAAAAATCAAGTTGGCTGTGTTCCTCCAACAACTTTACCCACTATTCCTTCATAACTTAAACAATCAATGTCCTCTAACTCAGAAACTACTCATTATCCAAAGCCTTAATTGTGATCCACAGTTTAAAATTATATATCTGTATGATAATTTACAGATATCTTCCACAGACACCATAATATAAAGTAGGACTTTCTCATCTTTTTAAATATTGGTAGCCATTCATCATCAATGCTATATTAGTACGATGGAAACTTACTTCAGTGCCAACAACAGGAAAGTAGAATTTGGACCCTTCCGCTTCGCCCTTGAGAATCTTAGAAGACCTGGCAAAAGAAGAGACTGCCAATCCATTCCAAGATACAATAACCTAAGAGCATAGGAACCCTCTGAGAGTTCACATAAACTCGTTGAAGTATATATCATAATAGGTGAATCCTAAATTATTCAAGGGAAATACCTTGTCATCCAAATGTGGCTTTGGACGCCTTGACCTTGCTTCAAACAACTTACGCCTACATTCTCCCAGAATTTCTTGATATGTCTCAACTGACATGCCATATTTTGATGCCAGTTCTGAAGGTTCCTTTCTCTCAATTAGGACATTCTTTTCTTTGAATTCATTGTGAGGATCACTCATTTCAGACAGGTCACAGTTTCCCGATTGCTTTATGTAATAGTGCTCCTCAAAAAGAGCAGCATGCTCTCCTAGTATGTCTTGAACCTAGATACAACAAACCAAGTCGGAAGTCACCTCCAAAAATAATACACCAACCAATCATTAATTACAACAATTTGACTACAAAATGTCACGGACCAGTAGATAGGATCGACAATTACACGAGGAAATCGGGACACTGATATCTGATACCTAATTATTCTCAACTAGAAATATTCTATTTTTATTTGGATGGACAATATAGAAATCTACAAGAATAAAAAACAATAAAGAAAACATTATCCCCAGAGTGTGCAATAAATATCAAGGAGATCCACTAAAAAAAAAGATATTAAATATATGACAAAATTTAAAGGAATATCGTAACTAACGAGTTTAAGCAAATATTTCCTGAACGACTTTTGTAGTTAGAATGTCCTTGACAAAGATTAACACATTTTAATATTGAAAAATACAGTTATTAACCCACACGATTGAACTACCAGCTGTGCATGATGTTTCATAAACAATGAAAGTTCTGATCCTTTTCCTTATTATGATGAAGAAAACACTAACGACTTGGGGCAAATCTTCTTCAACTTGATAGGGAAAACTAGAAATAAAGGATGTTGTTTTGACTGTAATTTTTCTGAGTAAGTTTCTTTAGAAAATGTCATAAAAGAAAGAAGCTTTCTTAAGTATGTGAGAGTGGCGGGTGGCTGGTGGAGGGAGCTTCACTTACCGAGAGGGATGAATTCGAGTAGTAGTTAGAGAAGGATGAAATCCGTTTATCTGAGCAAATTATCAGTGATGATGAACACATTTTGCTCTTGAAAAATACAATTACTAATTCCCACAACATAAATAAATTGTTTAAATTGACTCCTTAAAGATTTTCATCTTACTGTCACATCAGTGGGTTATTGTGTCCTGTCGGCAACTTGAAGGCCATGTCAAGTCCTTTTATGTCAGCCGAGCACAGATAGTCTAAATGGTTTTGAAAGGCCAGATGATGGATTTGGACCAAAAGAGGGCGCCATGATTTGGAAGGTTTATGAGAGAAAGCAAAAAGTGGGGCACAAAGTTTAGTGTTTGTCATTTTGACAGAACTAGTTATGCATAATATAGATTCCAAGATAGGAAGGGGACATAGGGATGAGTGGTGAGAAGATAGTCGGCTACGGTTATTACTCTTTAAACATGATATTGAACAAACATTTTCTTCTGAGGAGCACATTCCTCTCCTTCTGTCTATTACTTCTCCTTCACATGGATTTAATTAGTGATTAATACAATCAGTTTTCTGCATACTCGATTCTGGTTCCTAACCTAATTGGACCCAATTAAAATATATAAAGTTTTTAATGAATTGATTGAACCGATTTATTTTTGGGTACCAAAATAAAGACTTGTATATATTCAGGAACCTACAATGTAATTATTCCTAAAGAAATATAAGGAAAGTCAAACAGGACATGAATGAAAGACCTCTTTTCTTTCCCATATGTAAAAGGCTCCTTCCTTTTTTCTTGCAGCTCCTTCAGTCTCTGCACTGTCAGCATCCTCTGCTGAAAAGATTTCACCCTCTGGACCAATCATATCTCTCTTTAAATAGTCAAGGATACCCCGTGATATATATGAATAGAAGTTATCTTTAGTGATAGAAAACGCATCTAGATAAACATTAGCAAGCTGCCCTTGATCATATAGCATCTTCTCAAAATGTGGAACTGCAAAGATATGAACAGCTCAACAATATAATCATAAGATTTCAAATCAAGGGGCATTGGATATAACAGCACATCCTAATTAAAATGGCCCAATCAAATTGTACAGGAATAGCTCATATATACATGTACAATATTTACTCAAAGTCCAAGGTAAACTTACCGTGCCAGCACTCATCCACGCTGTATCTGTGAAAGCCACCTCCAATATGATCATGAATCCCGCCTTTTGCCATGCATTGCAAGCTAAAGAGAACCATTTTCTGACTTCCATTAGCCCCATCCAATTTTCCTGTCTCCTCCAACTTTTTGGAGTGATATAGCATCAAGTTTATCTCAACTGGTCTAGGAAACTTCGGTGCAGATCCAAACCCACCAAACTTTGGATCATAGGACCCAGAGAGCTACAAAGAAACAGTAGATTGAATGATATTTAACATTTGAAACACTCAGCATAAATTAAGGATTTAAAACAAAACATCCAACAAATGCATGCAGATATAATATCATTCTCACAGTATTAAAAAAACAGAGAAGAATATCTTTGATCTACGTCATTACAATATAAAAATCTTACTATTCTGTCTGCTATCAGCCTCAAAATTCATTCTTTGTGAGTGAGAAAAGAAGATTGCCATGTTTTTAATAATTTCTCCATTTTCATACAGAAATAGCACAGATGACAACAATACTGTGTATAAGAAAGCTCTATTTTCTTTTCCCATTTTCCTTTTCTCCCCTTTAGACATGTCTAAGAAATGGAGGGGAAGGTTTCCAGATAAAATTGAAATGGTAGACAAAAGCATATGCTCAAAGCCTCACCTGCTCTGAGCACAGACGTAATGCCTCAGCCGGAACCTCATCGGGCAGTTTATCAGTATCTGCACTAGCAGACATTGCCTCAGAAAGCTGTTCAATTGCAAATGCTCCACTCTTAATCAGCATATCCCTCTTACTATCCCAAGCCTGTTTTACTTTTCTGGCGAAAGGTAACAGAAAAGAATATATAAATACGAGCCTCAAAAACCAGAATACAAATTTAAACAATTGACCTGAAGTTTTATACTCAAACATTTTTTAATGCCATCCGTCAAATTTACTCAGAGAAGTGCCCAAGCAGGTTGAAAATTCTAGTTAACACTTGCAATATCTCTCACCTTAGTATAGTCTTAAATCCAGGTCGCCCGTACTTATCATCAGGGGGGAAGTAAGTTCCACCCATTAAAGGCTTCAAGTCGGGGGAAAGAAACACACTCAGAGGCCAACCTCCTCCACCGTACAAAGCCTGTACATACGTCATGTATACCTAAAGACAAAAGAAAATCCTTTAGTAAACCTTGTTACCTGGTGAAACCTCAACTTCTCTCCATCAGCGTCTCAACCATTCAAATTCCAAAGGAATTTTAGAAGTTCTTAAACACCATTTTGGATATAATATCATGGTAGGTGCTCTTAACTGCCATGCTTCCAAATATATAAATTAAATGAAAAGTTAAGGTATCGATATTCTATACCTTATCAACATCTGGTCGTTCCTCTCGATCCACCTGCAGTATTAAGACATTAAAGAAAGACAGAACAAAACATAACAACCTGTGAAGCAACATAGAGTGAAAACAGAGAGAACCTTTCGAGAAACTAAAATTCAAAGTAAAATAAAAGGAAAAATTAAACGACCTTAATGCTAACAAACCAATCGTTCAACAACTTTGCAACCGCTGCGTCTTCGAAAGACTCGACCTCCATAACGTGACACCTTACAAATAAACACTTCAGATTCCGAAAACGTTCAAAGATGAGATAAAGAACAGGAATCGTGAGTCACACACAAACGCGCGCGCGTACATACCAGTGACAAGTGCTGTAGCCAACTTCGAACAGAATCGCCGTCAAGAACAGCACAGGTAAAGCTTCGCAGTCAATTACGCAAACGAAATTGGCAAAAGGAAAAACAGAATAGAGAAAGGGAGAGAATTACTAGATAAGAAGATAGGCACGTCGCGCCTGCGCGCTTCGGCGAAGGCTTCTTCGCCCCACGGATACCAATCAACCTTGAACGGGGAATTACAGATAAATAAGTAAATAATTGTAATTATATAATAGTGGAAAGGAGAGAGGAGAAGGGTGAAAAGTTACAGGGTTGTGTGCGTGTTGGAGAAGGTAAGGACTCTGTTCGGAAGCGAGTCGGTTTATGTGGTTGTGGAGGGAATGAGAGGAAGCCATGGGGATGAGGTTGAGAGTGAGACGTTTTGGTGAGAGTGGGAAAGGGAATTTGAAATTTGAAGAAGGGAAGGGTTGGTGAGAGAGAAGACGTGGTAGGAGGAGAAGAGAGGGAGAAGAGGAATGGGTGATGCGGTGAAGCATAGAAAGGATTGTTGGGAGTGAGTGAGAATGAATGCTATGTCCGAATGAACGAAAGAACACAAGAGTAGTAATATTTGCCTCCCTGGGGAATGGAAATTGCATATCGTAGAGGGACTGGGAGGTGAGTTGCTATGTGTAGCTCTTCCCTCATCAACACTTGGACCTTCGCGGTCGTAAACTTAAGAAATTATTATTTTCACTGCATATTATTATTAAATTGTTGTTACTGTAAATAGATTAGTATTTTAGTTTATAAGAATTAAACATTGATATAAAAAATACAACGTCAACAAAAGTAGAATTAAAATTTGACTTTAATACGCTGTCTTATAAAAATCAATATCTTATGTGTAATCCTAATGCTCTTGAATATTTAAGATGTGTTTGTTTTCCTGATTGATGGTTCAGTCTCGTGTTTGTTTTTAGTGATGACAGCAGAAATGGAAGGAAAGAGAATCGTCGATTATTTATTTTGATTCTCCAATAGAATAAGAAAGAAAAACAGAGAAATACAAATAAAATATTCTTTTTTACACAGACAAACTAATATATATATATATATATATATATATATATATATATATATATATATAATTTTGCTAATTCAAGTTTTAAGATTAAAGATATTTTAATAACTTTTATTATCTAAATTAAAAAGAAGAAACTTTTCAAATCCTCTTTTATTCATCTCTCTCACTTCAACCTTTTCTCTGTCATCGTTAATGTAGTTCAATTGAAAAAATCAAAAATATTTGTTCATTCAAGTTCTCTTCAATTTCACCATCTTCACTAACCTCTTTAATTTCATCATCTTCAAGATGAAAGAGAAAATGTTGGACTGAGAAAATGTTTGAGTGAAAGAGATGAAAGAGAAAGGGTTAAAAGAAATGAGAGAGGTGAGCAAGGGTTTAAATTTTTTTTTAGTTTTGAGAACGAAAATTATTAAAATACCCGCCTTAACAAATCCATATATATATATATATATATATATATAGCTACTTCCAAGTTTCAACCGTACGTGAGAGAAGGAAACACAATGCAAGAATTAACTGCACCATTTTACATTATCAAACAGATCTTTACTCATAACTATAGGATTAAATGTCCGTAAAAACCTATATATAATTAAATGTTACATGAAAAAGTGCTCCCTATTCACTGCACATTGAATCAATTTGATACGTATGCTCCAACTTAGGATGATGGACACATTCAGGGGAACAACAATACGATAGATCGTCCATTGTGAAAAGTACTACAGCAAAAAATTTCAAATAACTTGGGCAAGATTATCAGCCAGCCGTAGCTCCTACAGATTCAGCAAGTTCTTCCAGAAGTTCCTTTTGCTCCATTGTAGCGCAAGACTGCAACAAGAAAGGGTTTAGAGAAAGCAGGGCTCTGATATATGCGAAGTAATTTTATTCACTAAATCATATTAACTCATAAATGGCAAAGTGCGTAGCGTGGTATACCCTTTTAATGTAGTAAAAGTGCAACTTTTTGTCAGTCTACTGTTTATCCTTCTTTACGGTTTGTCAATTATGTTTTCACTATATTTTATTCTTTCAAACGTCCAAGCAGAGTGCAGGCCCATGGGTGAGTTGCCTGCCTTTTTTTGCTGCAGTTTCCATTCCCTTGCAGTGTTTTAAGGTCTAAACAAGTTATTTTTTAGTTAATGTGACTGAATTTCGGTCAGAGAATCAATGTCGTTGCAATCCAAGAGTTTCAATGATTTTGGGGGGTCTCTGAAGCCCTTCAAATTTTCTTGTTGCAAGTTCTTGATTACCAGACCCATTTTCATCTTAATACAAACCTGCGTAATCTAATCATACCAAGAGGAGGAATACTAATAACATACTCTCGGTCTGTCACACTCTTTTGAATACAGTTTCTACTATTAGTTGAAATCTATCGAAAATTACACAATTTTATGGGTCCTACTTTTTATTTAATGAGTCATCCTCTCGTAGTTTCAAATGAATTTTAACCATTAATAAGAAATGTGTTGCTATATCTCCCCTGGTGCCTTAAGTATAAGCCACCTCAACAAAGTGCACATGTGCCCTACATACACCACTTTCTAAGCATATTTTCTACACACAGCCACACTGGGAAACACAAGCAAAAGTCCAATCCATGTGTTAGGTAATATACCTGAACAGCATCTTCTATGTCACCATCAAGAAAAGAGGTGAGCTCGTAGTTTGTCTTCAATCTGTGGTCAGTAACCCTGTTGTCCTGATAGGAAAAATTTAAGTGTCAAAAATTGGCACTAAGCAACCTTAGTTTCCTAAAGAAAAAAATGAAAATTTAACAACACAGCTATATTCTACCTCTATTATGTCAAGAACTGCATCATTCTAGTTCGCTGAATCTTATTCACTTCACTCAATGAATATGATTATCAAAGATCTTCAAAATAACTTATTGTTTATTATGTCTCGTTTCTCACGTGTCTTCTATTTTTCTAAGAAAAAGTATCAGCATTGTTCAACTAACAATTTATAAAGGGAAAATTTTCCATGAATAAAATTATAAAGAATTGAAATTCATTAAATTTCGGAAGGGGATTGGAGAGACTAATAAGTGAGTGTAGCTATGTTAAAATATATTTAGACAGTACCTTATAATTGTATGTCCGAATTTTTTCTGCTCGTGCACCTGTACCGACCTGTAATTGGAGATAGCGAGGCAAAAAAGTTTTAACTCAACAACAGTTTGCTCACCCGTATAGCAAGTACACCATATAAAATTTAATTCAATCAATATCCCACTAGTATTTCAAATATCAGCACAAGAAGGAGCATACCTGTGATTTCCTTTGGTTTCGTAATGACTCTTGTTGTTCCCTTAACTTGATCTCATATCTGTTGAAGAGTATTGTATCATTTTACATGTAACATACTAAAACAAATAGGCTAAAGAGAACACTTGAAAAAATTACACTAGTCAACTCGAGTATTTGGTCAGTTTTTGGCTTCTTGATAATAATATCCTTTAGTTCCTCAAGAATAATTGAACAGAAAGATTGAGATATTTTATCATGTGAACATGTATATAAGAGGAAAAGGGGAATAAAGGTGGAAGACATTTCAGAGATAAACACGACTCTATTCTAAAACCAGACTTCTGACGTTGGCAAGAAACCAAAAAGCTAATGACAATGTCGATGCTTACAGTTTTGCTCGGAGCAACTGAAATGCACGATTCTTGTTTTTAAGCTGTGTTCTTTCTTCAGTACAAAAGATGCGGATTCCCGTTGGTTTATGGAAGAGATCAATGGCTGTTTCAACCTTGTTTACATTCTGACCTGCAACATATCTTTGCATGAGATTTCATGGAGGACTTTATTTCTTGCTCCCAGGAATATAAAGATTGATTACTTGACTAAAAAGGTCTCATGGTCCTAGATATTTACCTCCAGCACCCCCAGAACGTGCAGTCGTCAGTTCAATATCTTTGGGGTCAATTACGACTTCAACTTCATCAGCCTAAGTAAATATTCCAGGTCAATAGATATAGATATTGTTTTTAAATCTTAAAAAAAGAGAAGGCATGCATATACTTACTGAATTATAATGCTAAAAATTAAACTGATTAAAGAACGTAAGAATTTAGAGAAAAAAAATTCTGTACAGCATCATCCTATAATTACAAAATTTAAGCTACTTTCAACAATATAGATAACAAATTCAGACAACACTATATCTATCTCTATATCTATAACTATACACACACACACACACACACTTTAGACTTAATCTCGATACTTGTATGATTAAGATAGACTGCTATACAGAAGTAGTAACTTTTGGAATAAAATGTCAAATTAGAAATAGTCCACGTGCAAAAGACTTTAGACAATGTTTAGATTGCTTTCAAACCTATACGTTGGGATCATGAATAATTTATTGCTAAAAGCCATAAATATGTACTCCACCTCTGGCATGATAGCCACTGTTGCAGTAGAAGTATGTACCCGGCCCTGTGCTTCTGTTAGAGGAACACGTTGAACTCGGTGGACGCCAGATTCATATTTCAATTTACTGTAAACACGATTTCCTTTTATCTCCATTACGTAAGTTTTGTATCCTCCTTTTTCTGCCTAAAAGATCGCAAAAAAATTATACAAATTGCATAAGCAATGAGAAAGTGTTTCTGTTTGAGTTTTTATGAGGAATACCGCAGAGCTTGAGACCAGAGAATACTTCCAAGAATTCCTTTCGCTATATCTTTCATACATTCGGACCTGATTCAACACAAAACACCATCAGAATATGCTCATAATTGAACTTCACGTTAATGGTTCCTTCGTTTGAACCACGATAATAAAAAAGTAGCAGTGACAGTTAAACAATTCAGAAATTGTCCAATAATAGATTTGTCATTTGTTACATGTGTGAGCACTTTAAGCATTCCACATGGATTAAACTCGGAAAGGACAAACGTAACCATGTACCTACAAGATCACCAGCCCAAATTCCAGCCTCGTCACCACCAGTGCCTGCTCGTACTGCAGAAGTGAATGAAGATAAAAAATCCTTAAAGCTAGAAAAGTACATGAAGAAACAATGTATTGATATGTTAAGCTTCGCTATCCAGAATTGTGGAGTGCAACTACGGTGTACATGATGGGAGAAGCCAAATTAGGCACTATGTTATGCATATAAATTAAATAAACGAATAACACTCCTCGCATAGAAAAATTGAAAAACAATAGCAAAAGTAATTCTATTAATCCAGTTAATAAATTTCTTAATAATATTTCTATGTTTCCTATTATTAAAATGCAAAAATCACTCAGAAAGATTATAATTTAACTTTACGTCCTATGGCACAAGTCTCTCCCATGATGCATGAAACACTCAACTAAGCCATAAAGTAAAATCATTGCGCTACGACAATATAAAGAAAGAGAGTATGTACCTTCAATCATTATGTTTCTAGCATCCAGAGGATCACTGGGAAGCAGTAGCATCTATCATTATGTAGGACAAAATTAAGAAGTTTCAAAATACAAAAAATGGGGGGAAAATATAGAAGTAGGAAGAGAGGTTGAAAAACTCAAGATAGCCAACGGAAAAAGTGGTTACAAATAATGAGAAATATTAAGAGGAGATT